TTCAAGAGACCTAAAAATATAATTAACTCACCGTGTAAGGTCGAACCTTATAATATGATGATGTTTGAAAAACTGATCCCTCAGCATCAACATGTAATCCAACATCAGCATCAGCATCAGCATCAGCATACAAGTTGTTCAGTATATATATTGTTTTTGATGTAACAAGTTTAGTATTTATCTTGTTTCCATAGTTATCATATATTAGTTAGCTGGAACATCCCTGATTTGTAGGGATTGTCTATAATAGTTCTATATAGTCTTTTGTACGGGTTTGTGAAGAGGTTGTCTTTCACAAACCCTAATAGCCGCTTTGTGCGAACAATAATCTCTTTGTGAGATTATCATTCTTAGTGAAAGCTTTATGTGATACTTCATTGTTCTGTTCTTATTATTAGTCATTGTTTGATAAATCGATTGATCTCAGGTTCTTTCAATTGGTATCAGAGCAGGTTTCTTTTATCAAACAAATGGCTTCATTCTCTTCCTCTTCAAACTCATCAAATCATCCTTCTGCTAAAATTCCTCCGTTTGATGAAACCAATTTTGCTATGTGGAAAATAAAGGCTCTCTATGCATTAGAATCTGTAGATGAAGACATGTTGGACATCATCGAAAAAGGTCCATATGTTCCGATGTATCGGCCCCTGAAAAACAATGTTCCTGATGGTGCCATGAAGAAAACACCTAGAGAAAACTAGACAACAGATGTCGAAAGAAAGAATGGTCTCGATGTTCGTGCTCGGGCTGCAATCAAATATGCTTTGCCATACAATATCTTTGGGCTGGTTCAGAATTGCATCTCAGCAAAACAATGTTCCTGATGGTGCCATGAAGAAAACACAAGGCAACTCAAATAAATGATCTAAATAGAAGGTATGAACATTTTTTTGCAAAGAAAGGTAAAACCCTGACTCAAACCTTTAACAGGTTTAATACACTTGTTAATGATTTGCGGAGACTAGATCAGTTGAAGCATCAAACTGTTCTAGTGCAGAAGTTTTTGGATTCTCTGGGTGCACGTTGGGAGAATCATGTTGATGTGCTGAAAAATAGTGAGAAGATCAACACTATGGACTTACAAAGTCTCTATGGAAACTTGCGATACTATGAGGAATCCAAGCTTCAGAGAAAGGAGCTGATGAAGGATTCTCAGCATGAGTCATCAGTAGCATTATTCTCAAACAAAAAGAAAGTGTCAGAATCAGACACTGAAAACCATTCAGACACTGATTCTTCTAAAAGTGAGACTGATGATCTCCAAAAGGTTGTTGCTAGTGCGGCCTTGATTGTGAAGACTTTTGAGAAATCAAGCCGAAATTTCTCAAAGTTTCAGAAGAAGATGAGTGGGAAATCTTCAAAAAGATCAGATGCTGACAAAAAACATGGTACTGAAAGGAAAGGAAAAGATCAGTGCTTTAACTGTGGTAGCACTGATCATTTTGCAAAAGAATGCAAGCAAAGAACTCAAAGCTCGGATGAATACTGGAAGCAGAAGTACATAAACTTGGTTGAGAAACTGAAAGCAGAGAACTTGGAACATAAAGTTCTTGTCGTTGAAGAAGAAAAATGGAAGACTGATGAGGAGTCATCAGATGATGAAGTTAAGTGTCTGATGGTCAAGATAGAAGACACTGATGAATGTAAAGTCAGCAATAGTTCGTTTGATGCCGATATGTCTAATGCAGTTGAAAACTCCAGGAAGCACAACATTGACTCTCCTTCAATGTATCAGGTTCAAAACTTTGTTTCATATTCAATGAATGAAAAAATCAAAATGTTTGAGTATTTGGGTGTTCTTAATTCTAAGAAGAATCAAACCATAAGAGATATGCAAAATCAAATTGATCTTCTTAAAACTGAACTATCCTTAAAAAATAACAATATTGACACTACTTAGGAAAATCTAAGAGTTACTAGTTTATCAAATTCCTCACTATCTGCTGAAATTGATAAAGTTAAAGACCTCCTGAACAAAGAAAAAACTGTTTTAAAACTTTGGGCTAAATCTCACAAAAATGCTAATTATGTTATTTCTGCTCAAATACCTCATTTATGTGAGAAAATCCTTGGGGAAAATTTTGCTGAAGCTGAAAAGGTTTTTAAATCTCAAGAAAAGGAATATGAATTTTATTCCATGAATGAATTGAAAGATAGTTTCAAAAACAAATTTATCAGCAACACCTTTATTAATCAGAGTCTCATTGATGAACAATGTGTTACTGATTCTAATGGTGTTACTGACTGTAATATTGAAATTACCGGAATTGATCCTACTTCTTACCCTGCACATCTTGTGAGACCAAATCCTCTCACTGAAAATATTATCGCATTTCCTATCTCAAACGGAGTGTTTCATGATGTTCATGAACAACTTAAACAATATCCTGATTGCAGTGTTTCAGTACATAAGTCTAAATCTGATACTGATGTTAGCTCCTCATCCATCACTGATTGTAGTTCTTCTGACACTGAATTCTTTAGTAATTTAGTCTTAAATAAAAGGACTCAAAGTTCACTTGATGAATCTTTCAAATATAAATGTGTTAAATCTAGAAATGTGTTTACCAAGAAAAACATTGGTACTAGAATTTGCTACAGGTGTGGTGACACGACTCACAAAATCAGTGAATGCAAGTTTGATAAAACATCATTAATAGCTGATAAAATCAAAGTTAGAAATGAAAAATGGACTCTAAAATCAAATTCTTTAAACTGTCTTCCTAAAGATTGCTATAATATATTGTCAAATAACTTTGTGAATGACCCATCTTACAATGGGTCAGTGTGTTCTAACTAGTTTCTCAGCACTTCAGGGTCAGGAGCATCTTTGGTACTTAGATAGTGGTTGCTCAAGACATATGACAGGATCCAAGTCTCTCCTGGAAGACCATGTCAAGAAAACTGGTCCTGCAGTAACATACGAAGACAATGGAAAGGGGTTTACTAAATGATATGGAAATATCAAGTGCAATAATGTGGTGTTTCAGAATGTTTCATATGTAAAGGGTCTCAAACACAATCTCATCTCAATAAGCCAATTGTGTGATGCTGATTATGAAGTTCACTTTAAAAAGAAGGAAGGAAGAGTTGTTAACACTGACAAGAACATTGTACTCTCAGCAAGTAGAAAAGATGATATATATGTTCTTGACATGTTCTCAAGTGACAAGGTGCTGACGCAATGTTTCTTTACAAAGTCTCAAACCAATCTCAGCTGGATTTGGCACAAATGGTTCTCTCATTTGAACTTTAAGAATCTATCTAAAATATCCAATCAAGATCTAGTTAGAGGTCTCCCAAAACTCAGTTTTGTCAAAGACAAGATGTGCTCAGGGTGTGAACAAGGAAAACAAACCAAGTCGTCATTCAAACCCAAGTCATGTTCTAGCATATTTGTTCCTCTTCATTTACTACACATGGACTTGTTTGGACCTATTCCTGTTCGCTCCCAAGGAGGAAACAAGTATACTCTAGTGGTTGTGGATGAGTTTACTCGATTTACATGGGTGGTTTTCTTGAAGAAGAAAAGTCATGTTGCATAGGAAATTATCTCGCTGATTCGTAAAAACGAGACACTGTCTGGTCTCAAAGTTAAGCAGCTAAGGAGTGATCATGGTACTGAGTTCCGGAATTCAACTCTTGAAGAATTTTGTGATTATAAAGGCATTGGGCAGAACTTTTCAGCTCCTTGCACACCTCAACAAAATGGAATTGCTGAACGTAGAAATCGAACAATGATTGAGGCAGGAAGGACCTTAATGATTCATGCTGGTCTTCCTATGTCGTTTTGGGATGAAGCTGTTAATACAGCATGTTATACTCAGAATCGATCTCTAATTCACAGGATTCACAAGAAGACACCATATGAGATGCTGAAAAGTCGAAAGCCGGACGTATCCTTCTTTCACGTGTTTGGATGCATTTGTTATATTCTTAATCAATGCGATCCAAGATCAAAATTTGAGCCTAAGGCTGACATTTTCACCAAGGCCCTGGATACTCAAACTAATGCTCACATCATTAGCGAACTTGGAATAATCACTCTCGATTGAAAAATTGTTTTACTAATGTTTGCTATTGTCTTATAAACTAATGTTTTTTTTGTGCTGATGATCATGCGCTGATGATGTTTAGCATGCTGAGTACATTGTATGATCTCTTATCTCTATCTCTTCTACAAATCTTCTAAACTAAAGTTGAATGATTCACTGTATTAAACCATACACTGATAACAACTTGAAACTCTTTGCCGATGGTTAGACAAAACACCAAGCTCTATCACACACAACTATTCCCTCTTACCAATCTTACACTGATTTTGTGATTCGGTGTGACAAAACACATACTGATGAGAATCTAAAAATCTTTGCCGATGGTTAGACAAAACACCAAGTTCTATCACACGCAACTATGCCCTTTTACCAATCTTACACTGATTCTGTGATTCAGCATGACAAAACACATGCTGATGAGAATCTAACAGTCTTTGTCGATGGTTAGACCAAAACACCAAGGTCTATCACACGCAACAATCCTCTCTTCACCTTCTTCTCACTCAGTGTCTAATGATTCAGTAAGAAATACCACTCACTGATAAAGACTCGACACTCTGTGCCGATGGTTAGATAATTAAACTAGTATCTATCACACACACACCAATCACCTTGCTAACCCTGAACAAGCAAGTTGTACCTTGAATTGACGACAAACTATCTTTCAGCATGTGACTTTTCATGATAATAATCTCAGCGCTTCCGCAGTCACTGATTGTCGTTTCCTCTTCAGTACACCGACTCTGTTTACCCAACGACTATTTTTTGATTTGACAGTCTGTCAAGATCCGCAGTTATTTTCGATAAAGATAATCATTACCCTTTTTTTTAACCGTTTCATCCCGTATTTAAACCTTTTCACCTCTTCCCCAAACCTTTTCACCTTCCTGCAAACTTCTCTCTCTCTTAAAACACAAAAAAACCCTAGAATCCTAAACTTCTTCAATGGCGGCATCACTGTTCACCTTCTCCTCTACTTCAAGAAGAGTCGTCCCAGCTCCAAACTCTCCTCCTCTTCCCATATACATCAAAGCCAAAAACGTTGTTTTCAACCCTGATATACCAAATGTTCATCGAGGTCTTGGACTTGATGATTTTGTCAATTTCTTAGTCTCCTGCCGACTTCAATACGCAATTAGTGACGTTCCATCAGAGTTCTTTCCCGAACAAGTATGTGAGTTCTACTACACTGCAACAATTAATGACGAAAAAAACGTCATCTCCGAGACTATTTTCCGTGGCAGGCACTCAATTTTTATCACCGCTGACCAATGTTGCGCTCAGGTTACCAATCTTTGAACCATTTTGAGCTTCCAACTATTGAACGTTGTCGACGCCTCTTTGATCAACTGGGCTATGATCACTCAAAGGCTGGTGCTCGATCAGCTATCATTCTGTGTCAATGTATGACTCCAGGATGGAAGTTCTTCACCGGGGATCTGTGCAAATGTGTGGGTCACAAATCTCGCAGTGGTGATCAACTGAGCACTTATGAGCAACAAGTTGTCTGTTCCCTTCTTCTCAACAAACGTCTTGATTATGGGGCTTTCTTCTTTGATCATCTTGTCCAACTTCTTCGTACAAATGTAAGCGCTGATCATGTCCCCTTTCTAAGTTGGATTGCTCTTGTGCTAGATAAATTTTTCGCTGAAGCTTACTACTCCCACTCTGGAAACCCGATCCAATGCCCATGCATGTTAGTGCCAATATATCAGGATGATCCAATGGAAACTGACATCGTCATCTCAGATCGAATGAGAGAATGGATCGCAAAATCCATATACTGTTCCTTCACTAACCGCTGATACTGATGAAGGAGTTGATGGTAACAACGAAGATCATGCTGATCAACAAGCTGAAACACAGGATGATGGTCATCTCTCCCCTCAACTTTCTCATCATACTCTCTCTGTCACTGAGAGAGTTCACTCAGCTCAAGGGGAGCAACCATCTCAGGGGGAGCAACCATCCCAAGGGGAGCATCCATCCCAGGGGGAGTAACCTTCTCCGAGGGAGCAACATCGCTCTAAAGAAGTTCCAGCATCTTCTATGAATTGAGGCCGATGTCCATCAGCTGAAGGGAGTTCTCTTGCCAACTCCTTCCCCTGGCCCACAACATGATGATGATAAAAAAGGGGGAGAAACTAATGATGATCAAAAAGAGGGAAAAACTGAATCTGTTGAGCTCGGATCTGAGGATAACATTTTAAACCAGACTGAGCCATCACAGCCTGTGCACGAGTCTGATAGACCAGCTGCTGACGAGTCTAATAGACCAGCAGATACTAAAAAGCTTGCTGAAGATAGTGAGCATGATGATGAACATGATGATGAATGTCAAATGCTAGATATGAAATTCATTGATCCCATTGTGCCAGTTCAAGGAGAAGATTCAGATGTAGCTAGTGAGGATATTCAACCTCTATCTCGCAAGCGCAAGGTAGCAGATACTGAATTGGCTATTTCACACACTGATACTTCTCTGCCTAGCAAGAAACCTAAGTCCATCGTCAGCATATCCAACTTGGTAGCTGAATGGAACATGTCTCCTGATCAAGTTAAGCAAATTCTTAATGAAGCCAATCAAGCTCAGCTTCTAAAGAATATTGCTCAAGCTGATGAATCTCTCATTCAGCATAAACTTCAGGCCAAAGGATCCTTTGAAGCTCAGATGCAAAAGTTCTTAGAATATCAGTCCAAATCCAACTCTTCATAGCCTCCTCCTAGTAGCAGCCAGTCAAGGACTGAAAATGTTCTCGACATGATTGATCGCAAGAGGTTTCAAGATGTTCTTAAACGATGAGTGAGCAGTGATAAGATCATCAAAGTTAAAGCTTCTAAACCTCTTAACGAGAAAATTCTTACTTTGCTGATCACTCGTCAAGGTTCTCAACATCCATACACTGAAGTTGTCAAGAGGGATGAGCTGATCATATACGGATATTCTGAATGGATGGAATTGCTCGACTTAGCATCCAAGCAAACTTCGGCTCTCTCTTCAAAACTGACATATGCTCTCCATTTACTAATCAAGAAAGTTCAGCGTCTGGATCTTGTTCCTACGTAGCGTTCTCAGCAGCAAGGCCAAAGCTCCTCAATTCCAAGAATCAGAAGGACCAGATTTCAAGTTGATAGTGAAGATGTGTTGGTTCTAAATTTTGGTGCTGAAGGAATAAACAACTCTTTTCCTATCGGTGTTGAGCCGGTTCAACATAAGTTCATGTCTGTTCCTGAACATGGAATGTTTTATCTTGATAAAAACAGAAGAATGTGTTTTCAGCGGACCACAAAAATTCCAAGAGCTCCAACAGCACATCTTGTTGGCTTAAGACAAATGTGCATGAGTCATCAAGATCTATCTGCAGAGTTTCACATACTGATTGCTATGGAGTTACTGAATAGAAGACAGGAGCTGCTGGATAGTCCTTACTGGCCTATGAAAATAGAAGCTGAAGCTGAGTATGAAGAATTTTTGTCCAGAGGTGTTCTAGTATAGCTGTTGTTTTGAACATCATCATATTGGGGGAGATTGTAAGGTCGAACCTTATAATATGATGATGTTTGAAAAACTGATCCCTCAGCATCAGCATGTAATCCAACGTCAGCATCAGCATACAAGTTGTTCAGTATATATATTGTTTTTGATGTAACAGATTTAGTATTTATCTTGTTTCCATAGTTATCGTATATTAGTTAACTGGAACATCCCTGATTTGTAGGGATTGTCTATAATAGTTCTATATAGTCTTTTGTACGGGTTTGTGAAGAGGTTGTCTTTCACAAACCCTAATAGCCGCTTTGTGCGAACAATAATCTCTTTGTGAGATTATCATTCTTAGTGAAAGCTCTTTTTGATACTTTATTGTTCTGTTCTTATTATGTAACGCCTGTGTTTCTGGGCTTGCCATTTTTAGCAATGTGATAGTCTAGGTTAACCTTTGTAACCCGTTTTGAAATAATAGAAGTGTATTATTTGAGTACTATGTGTTTTGTGATTAATTGCTTAATTATGTGGTTTGATTAATTAAGAATAAAAATAAGCATCGAAATTTAAGTGTAAAAAAAACTTGATATCTTTAGACATTGTTGTAGTAGTTGAAACAAGGTTTCCGAAGATATAAAGAATGCCGAAATCCGAGTTATAACGAGGAAGTTATGACCTGTCGAAGTCTCGCGATAGAACCGACAACGCTGATTAACATAAAAAGTAAAATTTACGTTAGAGCGATATTTAGCCTTAGTGATCTAAACGAGAATCGAAGATCTCGTTGTTAGTATCAAAGCGATAAAAAGTTTGGCGAGAACGGACGTCAAACGAAGAAGTTATGAATTTATAACGAAATTTTCTGTCCCGGCCTATTAAAAATAAATAATAAAAATAAAGTCAAAATTATCCGATGAAGTCTAAACGAAAGTTGTAGAGCATAGTCTCACCTTCGCGTGGATATAAAGAACATCGAAAACGAAGTTCGTATGAAGGAGATATAGATTTTCGAAGTTTATTAAATAATTAATAATTAAATTTAATTATTAAATACCGGCCTTATCCGAAGACGAGTCACCGGACTCATCCGGAGTACGCCCAGCGTACCCGAGTACGCCCCGCGTACAGCGAAGATGTCGAAATTCGCACTCGAGGACTTCGGATGACGCATGCGCTTACGATTTCAGAGCACTACGTCCCGCGTACTGCTGTACGCCCCGCGTACGAGGAGGTTCCAGCCTCCTATTAATAGGATGCGAGGATGCCGAGTTTCTTTGCTATTTTTCTCTATTCTCTCTCCCGTTTTGCCTCGATTTGCGTGCCAAAAATACCCCGAAGCCCCGTTATCATTCCCGAGTCCTGAAGCAAGTCCCGAGATCCCGAAGATCCCAAGAAGTACGGTTTCCGAGCCGAAGCTCTGCCCGCAAGAAGTTCGATTTTTGTAGAGATCTTTCAGATCTGCTGAGGATTACTACTTTTGCAAGTCGTAGTTATGTCCGATCATCTTCTGATCAAGTGAGTGTATACTACCTTTCATAAACGCAATAAAAAAAATACAAGTATCGTTTGAGTGTATTAAGTATATTGTTGTTTATACGTGTGAGTGCGTTGTTACTTTCTCGTAACGCATAATTATGAAGTATTTTATACGAGATACGTGCTATGTGTATATGTTGTTGTTATGTGTGTGAATGTATATTCACTTTCTTCTATCTTACAGATCTGATTATTTCTATATGAAATACGTGTTATGTGTGTGTGCCTCATCTGTTATATGGAAAATGTATTGATCAAGCATGCTATACAGGTTTTGAAAATATGTATAAAAATTTATGTTTTTTTTCTACTAATATGTTGGGTGGAACATGGGTAGATAGTTGGTGTGTAATAAACAGATGAGAGGCCTCGTTGTTGTTTTGATCCAATCATCTAGCGGAATTTAGATGACGACCACGGACTTTTTTCTAGAAAGTCCAGTGGAACGCTAGCAGGCTCATAACCTGTAGGTGTTAATGAACTTGGGTGTTCATTCGCTGTATTCCATCCCCCTCATGGTTGTCTTATTTGACTTATATTGCCGAGGAACCCCCGCAGCATGTGTTGTCACCTCGATGAAAATATTCTTAGATTAGGTCCCTTGTGTTAGTTATTTTAGGGACATAAAGTGAGAATAACGGGAATGGGTAACTGGGTTATTGTTGGTTGATAATAATTAATTTAATTATTTATTATGGGTTGAAAACCCTATATGCTCACCAGGCTCCCAAGCCTGACCCACTTAGTTTTATTTGTATTACAGGAAGTGGCGCAAAGGCATAAGATGGATGAACCATCAAGTTGTTTTGTTTACAAGTGTGTATATGTATATATTTGTTGAATGACTTGTAATGTTATCGTTTATGCTTATTGGTCTGTATCGGAACATGACACCCCGAGTTTTGATTATATAATGAAAAATACATTTCTTTTATGAAATGCTTTGGTAAACATTGTTTTATCAATTTTTGTTTTTGGGAACAAATTCCCTAACTCTTTCAAATTAAAAGTATTTACTCTGAAATTATTTTAAAAGCATAAATGAAAATCGGTCTTTTCTGGCCGTGATTTTGGGGATGTCACAGTTGGTATCAGAGCATTAGTTTAAGCGAACTAGGAATTTGTAGGATTTCTAGACTTAAACTTAGAATGCTAAGCGAAATTTTAAGATGTGTGTCTATTATATTTTAGACACGAGCACTAGTTTATTTTAGGAAAGTTGCCTGAAATGCTTTATGTGCTAAATGTTATATGTTGCCATATATGATATTAATTGTTCGGATCTATGGTCTGTTGCCGACCGGATCTAGAAACTTTATGTGTGTAGGATTCTAAGCGTACGTCTACAATATTAGAACTAGCATGTAAACATTTCGGAGTGATAAGGATGATTTTAATATCTACTGTGAATGAGGATCTAATTTCACCTTATTCGGTGTGTAGATCAAAAATGGTGAGAACAAGAAGTGGAGTTGGAAATGCTGATGAAAACAGGAATCAACCATCGGTGATTGAGCAAAGACCTGTTGTAGCAGCAGCACCTGAGCCAATTACAATGGCTGGTGTGCAAATGATGATTCAAAAATGTTGGATCGTTAGATGGATGAAACTAGACGGTTGCTTCAACAGAATCGTGAAGAACTGTCAATTCGTGTGGAAGAGCTTGAATTAAATGAAGGGCACTCGGAAGGTGGAAACTTCAGTGGATCATTTGGTCAAGCCAACCCACCGATAGTTAGGCGAGATAACCATGATGAAAGAAATGATGGAATGGGATGCAAGTAC